CTGCAGGCTGGGAGCACAGCCTGGTGCCAGGAGCACTGTCCCCATACCCCGACCCATCCCAGCTCCCCTCTGTCAGAGCAGCCTGCAGGGCAGGACGCCATCCCTGCTCACCTGCCCCCCCCCCCCCCCCCCCTTTTTGCTCAGCTCTGCCTTTTGCCCCTCTTCTGCTGCTGTCCCCATCTGCAGCAACGCAGCATCGGTGGGAAAGGATGCGAGTCGTTCCCAAGCAGGGATGGTGCCGAGATGGGCTGTGAAGAGCAGCGAAGGAAACCGAGGGCTGAGATTTCAAGCAAACACAGTAAAAGCAGAACCTCTTCTCCCTCAAAGGTCGCCTTCCTGAGCCACGATATGGGGAAGAATGCAGGAAAACCAGAATTAAGGTTTTCTGCTCCATTACCGAGAGAAAACCACAGCGAGACGTGTCCACAACCCAGGGACAGAGGTAGCCTGGTTCCTGTCTGCACAAACACATCTCGGTCCGGGGCGCTTCCTCCGAGCCAGGTGTCACAATGACACCAGTGTGGGAACACAGACACAGAATAAAGCCAGGATGGCACAATGCCCTGCAGTGACCCTGCCCCAAGGCTCAGCTTGCAACGTGCCCAGCGGTGGGGACTCACCCGAAAGCAGGACCCATGATTGTCACTTGATGCTGACCCCGTGTCCACATTGCACACTGCCCGCAGCCCAGCACAGGAGCTGGGTGACCAAACACCTGCTCCCCCAATCCCAAATCAGCATCTTTGGGATGAGGACCCCCAAGCGCCCTCAGGCACTGCTCTGTCCCACTGCTCGCCCTTCTATCCCTCCCCTCACCACGCTCACATCGTTCTGCAACTTTCAGTTAAACCCAAAGCCAGACCCATCCTGCAGCAACCCCTCTCCCATCAGCTCTAGCACCTGGGCGCCGTCCCCTCCTGGTGCCACCACAAAAGCCCTGTGCTACACACGTCTCAAAGCATGGCCCTGCTGATGCACGGCCCCCATGCTGCAGCAAAAAAAGTGCCACCCAATGTCTGCTGCCAGGCCCTGCTGTCCCCTGCCCCTTCCCACCTCTCCATGCTGCCTGCACGGGACGAGCATCATTGGGAACACCGTCCTGGGAGGCTGCAGCCATGGGGGTCCAAGAGCAGGTGGGGATCCAATGCCGGCTCTGCTTCTATTGCACTTTTCTTTTGCTCAAGCATCACCAGTTTTGCACAGAGGTGGAAGGTTGGGAGGGGACGTCAGCAGGGCCCCCCCCCGGGCACGGGCACAGCCTCAGGGGTGTGTACATGGGCAGAAGGGGCGAGAGTGGTCCAGCTTGCTCAATCCTGCTTGTTTTCCAGTGTGAAACAAGGTCCATGATTTGCTTAAAGTGGTTAATTGATATTTCCTGTTTTTTTTTTTTTTGTGATTTTTTTTTTTTTTTTTAAAAAAAAAAAAAAAAAAGGGGAGTGAGAGAAGGAAGGGGAGGGGGGTGGAAAACTGGGAGCGACCCCCACCCTGTTACCCTGGGCTGTAAACGAATCCTTGCAGATGAGTCTCTGAATGCTCACTTCTCGGGCACCTTGCTGACTCCCCCCTTGCGCTGGCTGGGAGCTTTGGGGCCACGCTCATCTCCATCGGAGCTGCATCGGGAGCCCTCCCAGTGCTCAGGGCTTTTCTTGTGATTAGTCTTTGCTGCCACGCTCTCTCTGTTCTTCAGGGATGTTTCCAGAGGCCTCTCCTTGGGTTTTCTTCCTCTTTTCTTCCCGTTTGTGCTTTTTTTTTTTTCCTCCTTGCTGGATGAAAGCTGCTCCCTGTTTTTCTTTTTCCGGGCTGTTTCTGAGGAGGTTCGGAACCAGTTCTGTGTCCACGGGTTACAACAGAGATGGTTAGCGACTGGCCTTGGGCTGCCTGAGGACCTTCCTGCCCTCTTTCCCCACATTCTCACCCCCCCATGCCCCACTGCTATCACCTCCCCAAGGGCACACAGACTGGCATCAGCCTGTGGGTGCTGGGGACACAGAGCCCCTCAGCCTGGGATGCCAAATCAGTGCCACGCCACCATGTCACCACTACTGACGGGAGCTGCCGTGCTCTGCTCCTTGCTGGAGAAGGAAAGAGCCAGCACGAGTGCATGGCAGGGACCTGAAAGTGGAGCTTTCTTACCTCCGAGTGAGCCTTGATGATGTGGTACTTGACCCCACTCTCAGAGCTGAACTCCTTCTGGCACAGCAGGCAGCGGTATTTGCCCACCGAATGCTCCCCCTGCAAGACAGAGCGCACTGCTGCACCCCACGCTGAGCCAACGCACCCCTCCCCTTCTCCTTCACAGCCAAAGCAGGCTGACACTTCAACCCAGAAGCAACAGAAAAGAAACATTCCTTTCTAAAGCACCAGAACTGCCACAGCTGTACCTTCTGCTCCGCACGCGGCGAGTGCCGGCCGTGCAGCAGCCATAGCTGTGCTGGTGCTGCACTGACACGGCGTGTGTCCGCATGGCCACGTGGGCTCATTTCCTCACTGTCAGCAGATCTGTGATCTACTGGGACTGAGCCCTCAGCTAATTTATGTCCGACAGGCTCACCTAATTTTCCTTTTATGCTGGCGAGGAGACGCAGCCACTGCTGGATTTCTGTCATTAGAGCCCTTCTGGGGATGACTGATCTCCCGGCTCTGCTGCAGTTCACGACTCGGGGGAGATAATGTGTTCTCTATTGACGAGGGGTTTATGGATGGGCCTCTTCAGGCAATATATCCACTCCGTGGGGATTTCCCCATAGCTGGCTCTGCGCCGTAAATCTGCAGCTAGACAGGGTTCCCATTTGGGAGACAGGCAGGATGTGGGCAGCCTGGCCCCATAAATCCTCATGTAAGGATCATCTTGGCCCATGTGAGGGTGGGCTGTGCCTGGGAGCCTCCTCCACTCTTAGTGCCCAGCTGTGCTGTGGGCCACGCCAGGCTCACCTGACCTGGGGGTGCAGCTGTATACAAAAAACGTTCTTCCAACTGCTGGCTGCTTTCTGTGCACAGCACCGGAGCAGTGGCAACAACGGCAGCTGGAAAAAGGCTCCATTTTCTCCCTGAAACCATTTGCTGGTTCTGCATGCCAGCAAAGGAACTGCTGCAGCCTCCTGAGCTTGCACTTTTATCCTGGATGAATACTTCTTCTGCCGGATCTCTGCAGCCCACTTTCTAAATGATCTCATTAGGGGCTGATGTTCCAGCTAGTGCTGGAGGAGTGCTGGAGTTTGCGTTCTTAATAACGATGGGGTATTTATTGGAGCTGCCTCCTGGAAGCTGCATTCAATGGAAGCTGCAGCTGGAAATGTTTCAGGGTATAAAGCTTTATGAGCTCTTACCCAGTTCCCTATGCTGAGCGTTCCTCCCACAGTGGCTGCAGGCAACCGGAATCCCAGGCCAGGTGCTGGCCCCGGCCACAGATGAGTTGGGAGCTGCAGGAGCTGTGCAGGGGCTGCTATGCGTTGTTCTGGGGTTTGCACAGGAGAGAGCTCTCCTCCAAGGCTCAGGTTTTGGTTAAGTCTTCTCTGTGACTTCCATCGGGCAGGATGTGACACCATGGCTGCGGGTGTGATCCTGCCCAGGACGGTGCTGGGCTCTGCAGCAGTGCCACAGCTGGGCAGTGACATGTTGATGGCAGCGTGTCACTCAGCCAGCCCTCTCTGCAGAGCTCATGCCCTGCCCTCAGCCAGGGCACTGCAGGCAGCTTCCACCCCTCCCAGCGCTGGCTGGAAGCCACAGGGATGTGGTCACAGTCCTTTAACCCATGTCACTGTCCCTAGGAATGCTACTCTCAAATGAGCCGTGGGCATGGAAGGACAAAACCAATGCCACCATCGAGCCAAACCTGTGAAATGAGGAACCTACCTTGTTGCAGTTGGCCAGGTGAGCTTTCAACCCCGAGACACTGGAGTAAATGGCTTCACAGCACTGCAGAAACAAACAGAGGAGGGTTTTTGCCATGATCCCTCATCTCTGTGCTTTCCTCCATCCCACGTCCAGGAGCCTGCTGTGCCAGCAAGGCCACAGGTCTGGGCTGAGCAGCATGAGGTTAATGCTCTGCGAGGCACCCAGGGCTCCGGTCACACGTTTCCTATTAGTGCTAATGGGAGTCATGTGGCCACATCCTTCTACAACGAGCTGAAAAATGTCTCCCTTAAATGTCTCCGTGAAAAACGTACATTTGGGAGCAGTCAGGAGGTCCTGCTGGGCTACAGGAGTTCTTGGAGCCACAGCAGACGCTTAATGAAGGAGAGAAATCACCCGGGCAGCAGCATGACCAGTTTCTGAGCAACGTCTTTTCAAAGTGCCTGTGTATGACATTAATTAGGCAGCGCGTCTCCCTCGGCCTTGTGGTAACAGTTTCGTTCAAATTTCCCATTACCAAGGCTTTGTTTCAGATTATAAATCACTGGCCCAGCACGAGGGTGGAGTTCATCTCCCTGCGAGCTCAGGCCAAGGCTGTGCTTTACAGCGAGATGGAGCACACATACCATGTCCTGGAGGCCTTTGCCTATCCCAGCACTTCAAAAAAAGAAAAAAAGAACATATAAAAAGACTTAAAACCAGCTCCAGCTTTGCTCTGGGAAAAGCAGGTTCGGTGCAGAAAAAGGCTTAGCACAGATTGTGCAGCCTTCCCCCAGTGCTGGTGCTGAGAGCTCCCCACAAAGCAAAGTCCAAAGCACATGGTGCAGCCTGACCCCGGTGCCAGGGACTGAGCAGTACCCAATAAGAACCTGACACTGGTGGGGTTTTGCCCCTCAAACTCCCCCTGCCTCCTGCAGAGCAAAACCAGACTGGTCCAGAGACGAGAAAAGGTGCTCACATTATTGGGACAGTTGATGTGGCCCTTCTCCTTCACTTCATTCTTCCAGCTTTCCAGCAGCCTTGGATTCAGCTTTGGAAGTCCTGGCCGGGTGTAGTTGAGCTGCAAACAATGGGAGATGATTACTGGAGTGGCACGCACCGGTCCCATCCTTGGTGGAGTCCTTAGGCAAAACCAAATGGGTTTTTGCCCCTACCATGGAAGTAAAGAGAGGCCAAAAACGCTTTGGGAAGCTGCCCTACAGGATGTCAGCCCCTGGGAGTGGCTCTCCTTCCACCAGTGAAGGGACAGGACAGCAGGAATAGCAGGGCAAGAACCGTGGCCACCTCTGTGGTGACAAAAGTCTCTCGTGCTCCTGCTCCCTGGGCACATACCCCAGTGCTGCACGGGGCCAGGCCCTGTGCTATTGGTGCCCTGTGTCACAGCTGCCCTTCGGCCATGTTTCATAACCCACAGAACAAACAGCTCTGCACACTGGGCAGAAGGGATGATGCCAAGTTTGAAGAGCCTGCATGGCTGCCTTCCACCCCAATAATGAGCAGAGCCTATTAAACAATGAAAGGCTCTTGTGTCTCTGCCTCTCCTGGCAGGGCAGCTCTTCCCAAGTGCTTTTAATTACTACTTTATTAGTGACTTGGAGGTTTAGCACAGCGGGCTGGCCCTTCCCGCTCTCTTTCTGCATGTTCAGCACACACAGGAGCAGCTGTGGCACCTCATGCCCAGTGCCTGCTGCGGCACATGGCCCTACCTGTGGCTATATGCTCCATGGGGCTGCAGCACAGAGCTGCCCTTGGCCATATGTGTGCCAACAGGAGCTCTGCAGGGACGCTGATCATGTCCTGAACTCCCAGTTTGCTCGGTGGCAGAGCATGGCAGGGTGAGCTTACAGGTCGCAGTGAGTGGGTGCAGGTACCTGAGCAGCTTTAGGGCCCTGCAGCTCTACTGGCACACTGATATATCCCTGCTCTCCAGAGAGGAGACGTGCACAAACCACGCTTGCAGAGAAGTGCAAACCCAAGCTGTTTCATCCAAGTGTGCACATCAAACTCTGCACTCCCGTTTCTGACAATGCAGGGAGGTGGCTGGCTGTATTTCTTTCCCAGTTGTGACTTTTCCTGGACGTGCTGATAAGCAGCAGATTTGCCTTTGTCCAGCTGGGTCGTGCTGCTCCAAAACCTCCTCCTCCTTGCCACTGAGCCTGAGGTACCAGTGATGGCGAGGGTTGGCTGTAGATGTTGTCACATCAACTCAGGAGGTCCCCTCTGCCCTCACCTCGGCACGCAGCCAGGGAAGGGAGAAGGGGCAAAAGGACTTGCGAAACGGCGGTAGGGACGTTACTAAGGATGGATGTGGAAATATGCCCCAAGGCCTGGTGTGCTGTGGTTCTGTCGTGCTCTGCAGCCACGAGGATGCCAGCAGAGCTCTTTGAAGCACTGGGATGGTGCTCGTCAACCACTCGGGGAAGGCAATGCCACCTCCGGGGGAGAACACAGGGCTCCCTTTTTGTCATTGATGCTGAGAGCTGGGATGCCAGCCGGCCTCCTTAATTAAAAGCCAATCAATCCCATGAATGAGCAAACATTAATGGTAACCGCACACAGCCCCAGCAACAACCTCTCCCTCTGCGTGTCCCCAAGGAGGAGGTGGGGGGAGATGCTCAGAGATGCGGATTCCGCTGCTCCGGATCCCACTGCAGAGAAGAATCCCTCCCCGCTCCGCTCCAACAGGCACTGCACAATAACATGCACATCCCACGTCTTCCCAGGGCGCTGCGGTTCTAGGAATGTCAAAGCCATCTTTATGTCTCTATTAAGAAGGAGCCCCAGGCATGGAATATTTTATTTTCTACCATTTATTTTCCTCAAACAGCCCGTAAGTGAAAATCTTCATGGCCAAATCGTTAAACGACTACAACTGGTTTTGGCCACGGCCCATCTCCCCTGAACAGTTGAAGGATGCTAGGGTGGGAAGGCTCGTTCTCTTTGACTGACAGTTTTATTTAATTAACTTTCATATTTCCATCCTCTCTGCTCCCCAGACAGCTCTCCCCTTCCCCAAAATATATTGCAACAAATGAGAACCATGTGCTCTGCCTCGGCCCCAGCCAACATCTTCCCCTCCAACAGACCTGCCGCGGTACGGGGTCCTCAGCCCCTCGGGTCGCCCCGTGCTCCTGCCCCACGGAAACCACAGCTCATTCCATCCTGGAGGCAAAGCCAAAGCACAGTCGACGGTGGGCTGGAAGCTGCTGCAATGCACAGGGCAGCTCTGCCACCCAGCCAGGGCTCTCGAGAGAGGGCAGGGAGGGAGGACAGGTCCCCATGTGGTCCTCACCCGACCTTGCACTGGGATCTGGCTCAGCTCACCAGTGAGATGAGTTTGCAGCGCTCAGCCCAGCTTCAGGACTTCTGGGGGGACTGCAGAGCCATTGTGTTGGGAGATAGACCTCAGCCAGATTTTTCTGGTCTAGAATGTATTCTGGTTCCAGTATGGGGTTTTCTTAAAGACTCGAGCCCGCAGATGACTTTTGCCCTCCAGCTTTCAAACTGGCCTACACCAGCCCTTTGCTGAGAGCAGTGACTCTGCCAGGACTCACAGCCCTGGCCTGCCTGGCCACGTGTGAGAGCAGCCTGGCACTGCAGTGCCATGCAGACCCCGTGCCATGAGCAGACCCCAAAGGCTGGGGATGGGGTGGCTGTGTGCCCCCCTCTGCCCCTCCCTCCCACCACATGAACCCAATAGCTCTGGCACAAAGCTCATCTGGGACCAGACCTTCCCTTCTCGCTGCAACCAGAAATGAGGCACCCCACCTGGAGCTGTCACCGATTAATAACTCATTAACTCAGCAGTCTAAAGCAGCTTGAGTAGAGCAGGCAGGCAGCTCTCTCCAGGAGCGAGCACAAAAGCAAACTGTTCCCTGAAGAGTCCAAGAAGAACCAGGATATGGGGCCAGAGCTCACTGTGGCAAAAAGACATCCTTCCCCTAAAAACCTCTGAGAGCACAAGCTGTTTCACAGGGATGCAGAGAAAGCATCAAACCATGACCTAAGCTGGGTTTCCACAGCGTTTTATCCCATCTCACCTCTTCTCTATGGGGCTGCTTCTCTGAAGCCAGCCTCCAAAAAGGGTCAGGGCATTCCTCTGCAGACAGGGATTGCAGGGCCCAGCCCAGGTGGTAACTCCCAACCTCTCGCCCCTCCTGCCCAAAGCTGGAATCCTCCCTCAGCAGCACAGGGGCAGAGTTGAGCCTTACAGTGGGTAGGTGTATGGTACAGTGAGTAGGGTGCAGGATGGCTCCAGCAAAGGCCAGAGGAGACTCAGAGGATCGGCAACATCTTCATGGAGCTTCTGAAAGGGGATTTTTCCCAGAAAAGCAGCAGGGGTGTGTCCTTCCCCATCTGACATCCTCAGCAAGCGGCCGTTGTGAAATACCCCATCTGTTTCAGCTTATCCAGAGGCAAATAAAGATCAGTGCGAGAAAATAAGACTCCAGTGTATATTTAGAAGTGCTGGATTTGGTTAGTGCAGAATGAAGGCATTGCAGGGCCTGGGATCTGAGCAGCAATCGTTTATTCTGATGCCATTGCTTTGGTGCGAAGGAATCCACCCTCCTGGGAAAAGGCGAATGCATCTCACCATGGGCCACCAACGGGATCCGGAGCCACAATCCCTCCCCAGCCAGGAACAGCTGTGGCATGAGGGTTGCAGTGGGTCACTGGGAGCTTGGGGACAGAGCTCTGAAGCAAACGGCGAGCAGCCTGGGCACATCCAACCATTGCTGGGAGCTGCCTGGAGCTGGGAAGCATCGATCCATCTGGGATGCTGCAGATCTTGCAGAGATGGCATTGGTGCAGAGGCAATCTGCTGCTGGCCCCCAGCATCTCACCTCTCCCTGGGTCCAGTGAGGGGCCTGTGGGTCGGCAGCATACATCCAACAACTGGAAGCAGCCCGTGGGAAGAAGAGGTGGCGGCATGCTGGGAACCATCTGCCCTGGTCATGGTTGGCCTGCATTTGTGTTCCTGCAGCCCCAGCAGCTCTGGGTTGTCAGATCCCTCGGAGGGACTGCCACAGCTTGTGCTCAGCAGCAGTGCTGGAGCAATGCAGAGGGACGCAGGAATACAGGGATGCTGACCTTTGCTCCTGTGCAGCCCAGGGCGGGACCCACTGCAGAACAGTTCTGTCAGCACGGCTGAATCTGATCATGAGGAAACAGCTATTTTGGGGCAGTATTTGGGGGACGCTGGAATGTTTTTCCATACACTTAACTGAAGTACCTTTTAAACACAAGCTGGTTCTGAGAGATGCAAGGTGCTACCCAGCAGTGCTGGACCCAGCAGAGCTCCCACTGTCTCCCACCTCCCCCAGCACTGCGCCTCAAGAAAAGATGGCACAGACTGAGCAGCTGATATTTGAGAATGTTGTCAAGGAAACGTGACAGCCACTGCAAGACGTGCCCAGAGACAGACACTCACAGCTACACACGCATTGCTCCCTGCACTGACCTCAAATTTATCTGTGCAACACAAGCCTGGCACAGCTGGGGACAGCAGGAACAGCAGCACGTGCAGGGCTCAGGGTCCCACTCCTTCAGACCAAGAGCCTCGTTTGCCACCTGGGATCTGGTCCAACTCCCCTCTCTCTTGCTTTTCAACCCCAGTCTGCTTCCACCATCCTCCCTGCGTGTCGTTTTCTTAGCACTGATGTGGGGCTCACATTAAACAATCAGATTCTGAACATGTGAAACGTCTCATAAAAAGCACAAAGGAATGTCATGGTGCAGCTGTGCCAGGGGCTGAAACCCTTCTGATGTCTTTGTACACTCACACATAGGTCTGGTGTCCAATACCCAAAGTCAACAGAAAGGAGGAAAAGAAGAATGAGTGAAAGGGGAAAAGACAGCACAACACCTCTCCTCCCTGAGGACTGCAGAGCATTTTAAATGAAACAGCTCCTTTGGGCTTGGTTATTTTTATGCTATAAATGCATTACAGCTGAAGTCATCTGGAAACACACTGGGGAAATCAAAAGTGTTCAGTGAGCGCTAGCTCTAAACTTCCAGTTCTGCTCCAAGACGGCTGGTGGCACCATGGCCTGATCCTTCTCTAAGCTGGGCACCTCATGGAGATGCCAGGACACATATGAATGATGCCAGTTTGTTCGTGTGCTAGTTTCCTGCCTGCCTGCTGCAAGTCAGTGAGCTCAGTGCCTCTGCAGGACAATGTGCCAAGAGCACACACTGCAGGACAGCACACGACAGGCTGCAGTAGTGAAAAGGCACTTCCACTGCTAGGTGGGCTGCTCAGCACTACATTTACCATCACTGCTAATTCACTGAATACACAGCATACCAGACATGTGAGGGCTCAGCCACCTGGGGCCACGCTGCCCTTCCAGGATCTCTGTGTACACCCAGCCCGAAACAAGGAGAAAGCAAATCCTCCTACCCGCTTAGTTTCGGGCACCAGGTCGTCCTTCATCCTCCGTTTGGTCCAGTCCCTGGCGAGCTCATCCTCTGCTATCTCCTGAAGGTGGAACACGGCCACTTGAGCTGATGTGCGACGGATGCGGCCACTCGGGGTCCTTTCAAAATCCTCTATGGGGGTGGGCTCTGGCTTCACCTCTGGCTCCTCTGGCGGCTGCAAAAGAGATATTGCTATGAGCAGGGGAGAAGAGGTAAGCTCCAGTCCTGGGATGAGGATGCTCAGGCTCAGGTTATGTGTTTGCCAACCTGCTGCGTGCCGGAGAGGACTGCAGAAACACCAGCACGCCAAGCTGGGGACCACAGGCACACACACAACTACCTCCTCCCACCGCCACCCAGCCTGAGCACTGCTGATGGCATTCCTCCATACTCTCAGGCTTCTCATTTGTACAAACATCCCCATTTATTAGTTACAGGGTTATCAGAGTCAGATGCAGTGCCAGCAGGGATCAACAGAACAGAACAGGATGCTCCCCAGGGACGGATCCCACCACCCCAGGGCTTGTGAGTAGCTGGCCCTGAGGACACGGTCTGATGTTTGTTTTGCAACCAGGGATGGAGAGCTGGCTGGAGGACAGAGGAATTACTGGTCACTCCCCTCACTTAAAAACAGCTCCCTGCTTTTTTAGAGGGGCAGGGAGAGCTGTTGCTTGCTCCCCACCTAAACTGCACGGTACAACACACACATAGTAATGTGAATGGAGAGAACAACATCAGTCTGACATCTGCACCTGCCTTGCCTGGCCCGGCTCTGCCTGGCTCGCTCCTGCCCACAGGCTCTGCAGCTCTGCAGTCACCCCCAGGGAGGGATGGCCCCACTTCTCGGGTTGCAGAGGTGTCTGGGGGGCTCACTGAGGCCGGGTGTTCTGACCGTACATGGTAATCGTGGCCAGCCTTGGATTTGTATTTCTTCCCGCAGTGAGGGCAGCTGAAGACAGGCTTGTCAGCCTCGGCGAGTTGCTTCCCACAGCGCTTCTGGTGGTACTGGTAGCCCATCAGGCTGGAGAAGTTGGCTGCGCAGCCCTGCAGAGGTGGGGCAAAGAGAGGGGTGAGGGAGGGCCGTGACAAAGCGGTTAAGGTGCCATCGATCTGGGCACGGCTGGGACACGTCCTGCTCTGCAAACCCCTCTGAGACACGGGGGATCACCAGCCCCGGTGACACGGAGAGGCAGAGGGAGCAGTCCCAGTGCCCCGTGCTACCTGCCCTGCTCTGACACACAGACAGGGCTCCCCAGACAGACAGACAGACGGCGGGCAGGGAGCAGCGAGTGGCAGGCAGGCATTGCCAAGTATGCTACGCACAGAGCAAACCAGCTGCAGAGACAAACCTCAGCCACACGCCCCTGTTACCTGTTCGTGACTTGTCTGCAACCGCCTTGTCACCATTTCGGCGCTGTTCGGTTGATTTTTACACTGTGCCCAGGACACCACCAGCAGCTCTGTGCCCCTTGCTGGGTTCAGGAGGCAGAACTTGGCCTTCAGTGCTCCTCAACCCGCTCTGCTGTCACCCTCTTACTGGGAGCCAGAGGGACGGGGATGGGGACGGGGACAGGGACAGCTGAGCTAAGGCAGAACCGTGTGCAAAGTCGAGCACACCGAGGGTTGCCCAGAGGACACACGTCCCCTCTGCACTGGGACTCGCTCCTTCCTTCTTCTGAGAGAACAAGAAACAGGAATCGTTCTTATACCTCATTGGGGCATTTCAGTTTTCCCATCTGCTTTAGCACTTTCCTCAGCCTTTCCCGCTCTTCCTGTTCACCAAGGGCAGCGGTTTCCACAGGAACAGGCTGGAAACAAGGAAGTAACAGAATCGACAGAGTCAACAATTTACTCATGTCCTCTGTGCCAGGAGTGGGTGGTACAGCCCTGCCTCACTGCAGCTGTGAACCTCGCGCTGGGTCTCCCACTGCTTTGAGCCTTTGCTGTTCAACACCAGATTTGCTCATGCATTTTCTGTGTTTGCACTGAAAGGGTTAATTGAGAAATGGACGAGCAGTTCCTGCACCAGCCAGGCTAAAGAGCAGGAGATGAAAGCACAGGTTAAAGACAAGTCACAACTGGTAAGCATGGGACATGTAGAAATATGGTTATGCCTTGCCCTGGTATCTCACAGGCAGACACAACTGGCTTGTTAAGCACAGCACCAAAACAGCTGCCTGCCAGACTTTGTTCACAAGCAATTTTATTGCTATTTCTCACGTAAATGGTGGAGAGCAAAACATCGGATTTTGAGACCTGTGCAAAGCAGAACCCACCAGTGCTGGGTGTGCAGGCACAGTTTTGGAGGCAGAGCTTTGCCACTCAAAATCCACCTCACCATACTCTGAATCTTCCGCCATTCTGGGATTTCAATTCCTGTCTTATTTTTCCATTCTCTGCTCTATTCCCAGGGATCAACATTAGTTTAACCAGCTGCCTGGGAATGAATGGCTTTGCTTAGCAAGGGTAAGGCTATCACCTGGACTAAGCAGCATGCAGGACACTGCAGAGATGGTGTTGTGAATCCTTCCTTTGTAAAGATGGAGGAAAGTGGACAGCTGATTGCTTTGTCTTCTGTATGTGCATCTTTAGGAAGAGAGGAGAAATGAGGTGTGAGATGAGAGCTGCCCAGCTCTCTTACCTTGCTGACGTGTTCAGCCATGGTGTGGTAATTCAGCCCAGCTTTGGACTTGAACTGCTTTTTGCAGTGCTGACACTTCAAGGCGTCCTGCAGCTGAAGGAATCAGAGGCAAGTCACCATGGAGGCCCCGACACCTTCAGTTCTCCAAGGGTTGCTCATCAGTGAGCCCCATGGGCAGCCGCTGCTGCACCAATACCAGTGGTGGGACCCAGCAGACAACTCAGCACCCCGTCCTCCCGACCCACTTTGAGCCTGCAGTTCAGTTTTCTCTTTGTTGGTGTGGATCTCTCTGTAATTTGGATACTGTTATCAAACCCATGTGTCCCAATTTTTGGAAAACGTTCAGTTTTGCATGTAGATTTAAACCCCACTGGCTGGAAGCATCTGGACCTGATGTCTTCCTGGGAGAGGGTCAGGACAGAGAAGCAGCTTTGATCTACTGACATGCGGGAAGCTTCTTCTCTGCAGCCCTATTAACCGTGACAGATGCTGGTGTATGATGTGCTTTCTGGGTGTCCGAACTGTTTAGAATTAAGACACTGCAGGACACAGTCACACATACACTTCTCATGTTACTCCACTGTTTGACCCAGCTTGGTCTCCTGAATGATGCACACACTGATGCAGAAGGGGAACTTGGAAAGTGAGTAAGCGAGTGATGACTTTTGCTGGGGCAAGTACAAGAATTTATTGACTCAAGAGGGGAATGCTCTGAGCTCTAGGAGACAGGATGTCTCAGCAGGGAGACTGCATTAGGATGGCTGTGGCTGTTCCTGCTCTTCCTGCCTGGAGGATGCTCCATCTTCAGCACAGTCCATTCACTCAAACCTGGCCTAGCAGCTGAAGGGGAATGCAGACAGAGCTGCAAATCCCTCCTCATCACGGAGCTCTTGAAAACGAAACCTCACAGCAGCCAACTGGAAATGACTCACTTGCACCTCTGCTCTGATGGGTTAATCTTGTTCCAGATCGCATCACCAATCCTAACAAGGTCAATGCTAAAAGAGCCTGAATTCAGCAGATGCCAGTGCCAGCCATTGTAGGGCTTACTGCTCTGGTTGACACTGAAGAACACAATATGTTCACATCTTAATAAACTATTTCAATTGGGATGCTGGCAGGATATACCTGCCCTCAACTCCTTCGGATCCAAGCATGTTGCAACCCTTCCTATCCCTTATTTCCTTTCCAAAATATAAGGAAAGAAGGCAGACTCCAGCTAAGAAATACTTCAATCTAATATTACAACAGAGAACAAACGGAGAGGGTGCCTGCACTCCAAACTCCTTTCTGATGGGAGCAGCTCAAGGCACAGCTATGCCATAGGCTCATTGCAGAGATGCTGCTGGGAAGTGGAACTGCAGCCACACGCAGGGACTGAACTTGTTGGGCCACAGACTGCTCTAGCAGAGATGCTGTGAAGCACCCCAGCTCCGTGAGTGACAGTTACCTCAGGAGGGACTGTGCCTCATGGCAAAAAGGAGCAGCACAGCCGTTCCCACAGCAGGAGCCTGCACATCCACCAGGGCTGGTGTGTCTGTTCTCACAGCCAGAGCACAGGTATGCCCTTTGGGGCAGGTCTGGCTCTCAAGGCCATTGTGATTCCACTTCGCCGTAAGCTTGGCAGGCTGTGCAAGCCCCAATTCCTTGGCTGAGCACCCACAGGCCTATTTATAGAGGGGAAGACAGACCTGGTGGCTCTCAAAGATCTGCATTCGGTAGGCTGGCTAGCCTTGCAGCCCACACGGAGCCTGCTTGGCTAGGGAGCTGCTTGGAAAGCACAGAGATAGGAGATAAAATGGCCAAGATCCCCATTCCACCGAAGCCAGGACACTAGCAGAGGCCTGGCATCAATGTAATGCATGGTTTGGAAGGGATAATAGCCTCTCACTGCCATATAAACAGTGAGGCACAGGCTGAGGAAGCATTTACAGAAAATGAATGTGGAATCAAAGCTGAGCAAAGTATTTTCAAAGTGGGAGGCATTGATCCCACGTTGGCTTTCTGTGGCAATGGCTCTGCACCACACCAGGTGACGGATGAAGACGTAATCCTTTGCTCTGATGGATGCTGATGTGGCAGAGAGACAATTTTTCACTGCACCATTACTAAACTTCTGCATCTCGACAGTCTGCTCGAGCACACTGAGGCTTGGTATCTCACTGAGACATGCTCTCATTCAACCACAGTTTATTTGGCCTGATGCAAGGCATGGCACAGAGTGAAATCCTGCAGCCAGGGCTCTGTAGGAGGCCTGATTAGAGACAACCCCAACAATCTCTCCATACTTGAAACTATTCATTTAGCTACTAGAAATACCCAACTCTGCTGGAGATATGGCAACAAGGGGCCAAGACCACAAAGGGATTCTGAATTGATGAGAATTAGGTGTCCATATCCCCCTGTGAATTCGTATCAAAGTGAGGCAGCCAGCTCTCTGAAGACGACTAGCAAGTGCTCTATCAGCCACAGCCCAGAACTGGTTTTAGGAATACCAATATGCATTTAAAAGCAGCGCATGCACACAGCCAATCCCCTCCAAAATCCAGATCTGTGTGACTGAGTATGGCAAGCTCTTACTTTCTGGCAGACATCCATATGCTTTTTGAGCCCAACGATGGTTTTCCTGGTTATAACACTGCAGGTTGGACAGGCAACTTCTCCCTTCTCACTGATTTCCCGCTGCCACTGGTCCTCGGGATTTGCTGGTGAGAGAGAGGAGGGAGGTGTGACACCCAGAGACAAGCAGAGAGCACCTCTTTCACAAGCCTGGGTTGGTCATGTTGAAAGGCACTGAAGCAGGAAAGTTTGTGATGTTTAAAAGACAGATATTTATACGCATGGGCCAAACCAAAGCTGGACACAAATCATGCACGTGTAAACCATGCCAGTCCCTCTGCTCCTGCAGGTGCAGCAAACAGGGCCAACGGGTCACTGATGTGGGTTACCTGACCTGCTGGCATTTGGTGGCGTTTCACATTTCCAACTCCTGCTGGTATTCTGCATACTGGGAGTTACAGTGCCCCTCATCACCTGAACTTGCCCTGCTCAGAATGACTCCCTCTTGCCAAATAAAACAATTAGTGGAAGTGAAACAAAGGTGAGAGCCTCGGCTCCATTCAGATGTGTGCCTGGAAAGCTCCTCTGGCATTTCTCTTCCCAGCAGACAAACAAGCAGCTAGGGGAGTGTTGTCTTCCAGGCGTGTGTTTATTTGAATGGCCAGGTCCAGCTTAAAAACACCTACAATAAGAGACACACGCAGCCAAAACCTGCCCCCAGATCCAGATTTCATGCCGTGTTCTCAGCAGAACTGTGCTGGGTTTCATGCAAGGGAAGCCCCATCTGAATAAAATCCGCCAAGTCTGTTTATTTGGAATCTTTTGCATGGCTGTGAGATCACAGAGTTGTTTATTTGAATTTGAAACCAGAGCAAGGTACTGCAGCTGTATTTATCTTGCACATCCTGCGTTCCTCCTGCTGTCAGAGCTCCCAGAGAAAGTCAGCCTGTGCTAGGTTGTAGGCTGCACCCTGAGGGCTCCAGGAAGATGCAGTCATAGTCAGTTATATGTTGGCATTGCTCATGGAGATGAAGTTACAAAAATGCCAGTATCCCAGGAGCTGCTTTGAACTGTGGTCACACCGAAGCCAGGTGGAACCAGGATCTGGCTGCTAACTCCCAGCACTTACAGCAAACCCATCTATCCTCACAGTGACCCTCTTTCAGGATGTCAGCTGTGATATTATGGTCAGCCTGCTACACCTCAAAAGGACAGAAACTGTCTGCTCCTATTTGTAGTCTTGTGCTGGGTCTAGCTTCTGCTTTTGCTCACAAACCTTCATGAAAACTCATCCAGCACAGAGGCTGCCGGACCAGGAGGGAAGCAGGGATCACAGGCTGTGCAGGTGGGCAGGCTCAGTGCAGAGCAGAGGACCGAGCTGCTAAGCAGCCAGGCTGCATGCAGAGCTGCTGCCCCTGCTCTGCCTCCACCAGCCTTACCTGCTGGTAGGTGCACAGCTGCTTCCTTCTTCACACCAGCTCCTGGAGGTTTCTTTTTCAGCTCCTCCATGTTGGTGCTCCCCTCCAGCTTCTTGGCTCGATGGGCTTTCGCCTTGTCCTCTGCTTTGACGAGACCTGTAGTGAGGAGGGACTTTCTTCAACACTTGCTTTAATAGCATCCAACCAACTTACACATAGCAGGAAAAATACTTCTGACCTAGGAACAGTGAGATAGGTGTAGGTCTGCCAAGGCTGTATGTGTGGGACCACATTACGACAGACAATGTTATAAATAACTGGTGATGCTTTGTAAACTGAAATAATCATTTCCCTCAATCCTCACAATTTAGGAACTACAGAAACACCATGGCAAAGCAGGTAGACTGCTTGTGGCAAGGGAGACCGGGAAGAAGACATCCTGGAGAGAAGGCAAAAGGGCATTCTGCAATAAACCAGAAGAGGCAATTGAATAGCAAGTCCAAGATATAAAAGGGATGCTCCTGCTGGTGAACTTGCACTGGAAAGGCTTAATGCTTCCTCCAAAGAATGAGGATTCCTTTTAGAAAACTGGACAAACTGGGTTCCCAGACACCATATCCCACAGGACCTCTCACCACTGGCTCTCTACACAACTGCCATGATGGACACAGGTCTCTCCTGGTCCTGTTGGCTTCTGGGAAGGTGAGGAAGGACAAAAGGGGAGCAGAGGTGACCTGGCAACAGGTGCACAGGAAGAGGAAACCTAGCACAGTCCCCTTGGCTGATGGCAACCATCACTGAGCTGCCTGCAAACCAGAAAGGGCTCTGAAAGAATGAGCTGGTAGAGGAACTCGAAAGCAGGGCTCTCCATACATGCAGAAACAGCACCCCATGACCCTAGAGGCACCTTTGCCCCCAGGGAGCAAACTTTGTTGTGTTACAGATGGTATGCTGAACCACAGGGACACTGGGAAATGCCTGCTCTTGTTCAGTTTCCATTTGAGGCAGTAGGCCATGGGGGAATGGGTTTATTCACAAGGAACCCACAGCAGACATTTCAGTCTGTGACAGAGTCTCTGTGGGGAAGTTAAGGGAAACAAACCCAGACTTCCCAGGAGCCAGAGGACAGGAAATCACAGAGACCACATCCCATCTGCTCTTTGGTAAGTGTGTTTAATTCCTTCAAAGCCATTAGTGCTTCTCCCCCAGGACTTGTACTGGAAGGTGCTGCCTCCTCCAGTGCCTAGAAACGCATGTTTTATTTCCTCAGTTGAATGAGTTTCATAGCCAGCATGAATCCAGTTGCTTTCAAGCTGGGGGTGTTCCAGGTTTCTTCCCTCCATACCCAGCTGGGTGTGCTGATGGAGCACGACCACAGTCCCACTCACTCTTGCTCTGTCAAGCTGAAGAAGCCAAATTCTGAGTCTCCTCTCAGAAAAGATCCCAGTAATGCATCTCTTCACCCTTGAATTCATTTTCTGTAACGTGGGCGACCAGCACTGGAGACAGTCTGAGGAATGGATGTGTCACCATTCTACTCAGCAGAAATAATTTTCAGCTCCACTGGCAATACTGTGGCATCCCAAGCCAGAGATCGCCTGCCTCACGGCTCACTGGTGCCAGCAGCTCTTTACTCTGTGTTACAGACTAAACCAGGTCCTTCCCTCTCTTCCCTCATTTTCCAGGAAAGGCTCCCAAGAAGAGCAGATTGGATTGGTAGCAATGATAACAATGTCACTGCCTTTCTTTTCCAATTTCCTCTCACAGTCAAAGGCACCAGTTCCTCTGCCATGACATCTCTGTGCACAGTGGCTCCCACTTTACTTCTACCACAGGGAGGGCTCTTGGGGAAAGGGCTTGAAATGTCCCTGTAGCTTCTCCCTGAAATGTCCCAGAGTGAAGCTACAAACCACAGCTGATCCATCCATGTTACCTTTTAGTCCAAATGTTCCCGAGATGGACGGCTGCTCCCCCGTAAACTTCTTAGGAGTTTTCTGTTTCCTTCCTGACTCAAAAGAGAGAAACAGAGAGAGAGATTTGGTCAAATACCCTTACTGCCAGGTGGATTTCAGCTGTCCCAGGGCCAGGGCTGTACACACACTCCATGTTAGGAGGAAAGGGATCATTCCAAGGAGGCCTTTACCACTATGAAATAAAGGAGATGCTGAATGCAGCAGGCAGCCTAGTGAACACTAACAGGATTCTGCTTCACCACAAAACTAGAAGTCATAATACCTAAGGTCAATTCAATGACTGAAGCCACGGTTCTGTCCAGTGCCAAGAGCCTCACAAGCTAAGGTATTTGGTGCTGGTTCACTTGGGGAGCCGCAAGAAGTGCAAACCCATGATACGACAGGGGTAACCATGGCCTGGCTCAGCCCAGCCCTGCCTGCCAGCCACACAGTGCTAATAAGAGCTTCCTGACACCCAACAGGTAAGGAAAATGTGTTTGTCACTCAGCCTGGTTTAATGCCACACTCAGGATAGAGAAGCTGACTAAGCAGCTCGCTATGCTGCAGGTAATTCAGTCCACGTCCAACCCCACAAGTACTAGAGAAATATCTCTACTATAGCTACTACCTGTTCTTAACTCACAGTGAAACTCATTGCTGCAAGACACCACGGGAGCAAATTAGCAGGATGTTAAAAAAAAAAAAGGCTTAATTACATCCGGAAACCTTCAGCAGCATTCACTGGATCACAACCCTGACCCTTCCCACGGGAACCCCCTCCCCTGGGCTCCTGAACCAGCAAAGCCCCAGGCTCTCATCTTACTGTGCTTCATCCTCTCCGGGTCCTCCTCCTGCAGTGATGCCTGGCTGCCCCCCTGCTGCCCGCCATCCTTGCCACTCGAGGACTTTGCTGTGGGGGTGGCAGCTGCAATCGCCTCTGCTGCGGCGATCTGAAACTCCTTGCTCTCCCGGCTCTCCGCCGGGCATTCGCCATTCTCAGCATGATCCTGGGACACGGCTTTTTCCGTCTTTGCCTGTTTGGGATGGATGGTGGGGCAAGCTGAACTCTCAGCAGCTCTAGGGCAAAGCACAGAGGGCTTGTTTAAAGAGGGGTTGAAAGACAAATGTCCTGACACTTCTCCCCACTCCCAATCCCAGACCATGGGAATGGAGGCTTCCAGCCATCCCTATGCCACTACCGCACAGCCCAGCCGCAGCCCGGTACCTTTTCTTGCCACTGCTCTTCCCAATGGCCTTGTGCACTTTGCTTTCTGTTTTGCTGGCTGGCACTGGTCGGTCCAAGTGATTCCAGAGACGATGTTTTTCCAACTGGGTTTTGGAACTGAAGGCAGCTTCGCAGTACGAGCAGGAGTACGTCAGCTTCTCTGAGATTGCGCCCTGTGTGGAGAGGGAGAGAAAGGTGGGCGTGGATGTCAGACCTCAGCAAGGCCAGCATTTTTCTGGTGCAGTTATGGACACAGTCAGTAATAATACCCTTCCCCTCATGACAGCTCCCAAATGTCCACGTTCCCTCCAAAACCACGAGGGACCCACTTGTAAGCACCTTCCAGCCTGTCCCTGTGTCCTCCCCATATTCATCCCATGTTTCTCAAAGGGTATAAGGCCTGAGAGCAGCTTTACCCTGCAGACTGCAATGTAAAAGGCCACTGGGAATGATCCATGGCCCTCCGGTCTCCTTACCCCTTGGCAGCGCTGATAGTGGTACTTCAAGCCATAAATGCTGGGAAACTCCAGCCAGCAGCCTGAATTGGGGCATTTCACCCTGGAGTGGGCTTTGAATTCATCCTTCCACTGGTTCATCAGTGGGAGCTGGGAACAGGAGAGATGAGAGACGCAGCTGAGCGATGAGCACCTCGTGCCTGGGGGTGCACCGCTATGTTCTGAGAGGTCCAGGGGCACAGACGGGATTTCTGATCATCCCTGTCCACTCCCACTCCCCTCCCAATGGTTTCAGTGCTCCCTCTCACCTGTGAAAGACATGGGGATGGAGCCACGCATTGCAGGCTCTGCAGACTCTCAGTTCCCCCTGAGAATTTACCTTGCTGTGCCTCCTGAGGCACACAGCGTGCTCCCGGCCAGGCTGGGGAATAAATCAGGCCAGAAATTGCCTGGGTGATTTAACTACCCCACATTTCATTCAGGTGGTAAATCACACTGTGCTCATTCCCTCACGACTAACTGCTCTGTGTGTTGTCCACGCCAGTGTGCTGGAATTAAACTGCAAGATTCTAGGGGGAATAAATCAACCAGTGCTCCCTGATCGTTAGCCAAACCTGAGGTGGCTGCAAGAGAAATGAGCTCATCTGGGAACAGCACTGGGAAGGAAAAATTGGAGGGGGTACTGCTCCCCACCAGGGTTTTTGTAGGGTGCTTAGCGATGCTGTGCACTCGCACAGAGGGGATACAGGACCCAAGATTCTGCTAAGCTCATTAACATGCTGCTTTGAAGACTAAACCACCTGAAAAGAAGGTTTAACAGAGCAAGGCTGACTGTAGTGGGTGGTGCAGGGAGCAAGGCAGAGGCAGGGACCTCATCTGGGCTCTTACAGGGATGTCTTTCAGTGCCTGGTTCTCGGCCTTGGGTCGTCCTTTCTTCTTGCCCTCGGTTTTGTCACTGGTTGCATTTCCTGCAAACAAATGTAGCAAAAGTCACCTTCTGCCCATCCTACCCCATGGTGTCTGCCCGGCTTCAGGCTGCCCTGCACAAGATGCAGATCCCCCTCTGAAGGCAATTCCAGCTTCCCTGCAACTCAATGCAAAGTCCATGCACCTGCAGACACCTGTGCAGGAGTTGATTGAGCACAGTCCAGCTTCTCCTGCAGTTTGCAGACTGCTCTCCTTTAAGAGCAAAGCATTGAGCATTTTCAGCTGAAAGCCATACTCCCGTTTGAGTCAGATGGAAATCCTTCCATAACTATGCTACTTAGCAAAAGAAATCTGTGTGCTGAACCAGCTGTTGAAATCCCCTGTTCATTCTGCATGGTTGGTGGGACTGAGCTGCCCTGGGGCTGCAGGACACTGACTTCCACGGGGAGCAGCAGGAATGGGAATGGCAGGGGGTGAAGGACAAGTAAGGCAGTGCCTGGAGGGGCTCAGACCAGGAGGAGAGGTGACACGGACACCTCTGTGAGGGGCCATGGCTGTGTGTGCTCACAGCAGATTCTCACTGTCCCATCCAGAAACCTGCTCTGTTCAGCCAGATGTTGTCACCACTTCCAAACAGCCACAGAGATCATGAGCTTCCCAACGTGGTGGTGTGGGGCACAAGCACAAACACAATGAACTGTGCCAAGTCCTAGACTGGACACTGAGGCTCACAAGGACAGCAAAGTCCCGATTTCACCTAACTCACAACCACAAGAGACTGAGCCAAGTGGAACAAACACCACGACAACTTTCATCAGGGTTTGTATGCAGAGCTTGAGGAAGTTTCTCAAGTCAATCCATTGTAACACAAACTTTAATCCTTCCTAGCTGGAGCAGAGTTCTGCTGTCACCCTGTGGGTCTGGAGAGCCTTGGTGAGGTGCTTCTGGGCAGGAAATCTATTCACTAGGACAGTTTCGGTCTCACCAGACACATGGTCAGGTTTATCTTCACCATCAGAGTGCTGGCAGCCAGTTCACACCCCCTTGGCTCGGAAGAACTCCAGCACAAGCAGCCTCTCCCAGAGGACCCAGCCGAGCTGATGGTGCTGCATGACTGCCCTGGCACCATGGGTGCTCTGTGATGCTCAGTCCCTCTCTTGTGCTGTTTTTAGAGTCTAACAATTGCTAAGAGAAACATTCCAAATCAGGGCAATTTCTGAAAATAGAGGTCAGGCAGTTGAACTGAAGTGATGGAAATAGCAGGAAATAGAAATGGCAATTTTCTGACATAGATTTCGGCACGACTCATAGCTTGGCTGCAATTGTACAAAAGCCAATACATGGACAAAGGAAGGGCCCGGGAGCTCAGACCGTGTTGTTACCCTGCTCCCTACTGGGGCATGTACAAATCTGCCTGCACAAGCACTTGTTGGCACAGCTCAAAAGGAGGAAGCAAAAGTAACAACCAAGAGGAATGAAAATTGCCTGTTCAAAAGCAAGGCGATCAAAGCACTGCCAACTCCTCCTCTGGAGGCAAGCAGCACACGTGCAGAGCATCAGCATGGCTGTAAGAGACCCACCTGAATGGAGAGATTGCTGCAAGGCTCCTTAAACTGTCACGCTTTAAGCAGTGCTGAGTCTCATGCACGACATTCAGACTGAGGTCTGAGGGGGCTTAATGAGAGGGATCAGGAATGAAAGCCATTTGCTATGACAACAGAACCAAGCTGAAAAAGCATCCCAGAGAAGGAAACCCGAAACAGCTAGCAGAGGGCAGTTGAGATTAAAAACCTCAACTAACTCAACCTATAAACACCCTTCCCTGGTGAAAATCAGACATGAAGAAGAGGCCAGAAGGTGCATCAGCAATGGCCCCACCTCCTGAGCAACCAGAGCTCAGCTCCAAGCCTGGCACTGGTGGCACTCTGAAGCCAATTCCAGATTTCTCAGCAAGTGAGAGAGATTAAACAGAAAGCCAGTTACCTACAGAAGCCCTGCCAAAACCATAGGCTCTCTTCATTTTCATGCCTTCTGCCCCAGCGGCCAGAGGTAAAATAGCAAGCAAGACAATTTCCTCATTTATTTCCCAGCCCTCAGAAGCTGAGCCAGCTGGTTTGCTTCATTTTGGTACCCATAAAAGCATCATTTGGAGATGCTGTATCCCTTGGGAATCCCACTAACTCAGAAGGCCTCATCTGCAAGAGCTGGCTGTTCACGTACAGCACAGCAGCAACCTCTAAGGAACATAAAAACTCCTAAAAAACCTCCCATTTGGCCCTGCAAGGCAGCCTCACTGCTCCAGAGCTGCAGGGAAGATCTTGCAGGCTCACTCCCCCAAACTGCAGGCTTTGGAGCAGCATTGCAGGGCTCATTCCAAAACTCTTTTAGAGTGGCTGTGAGGACTCCTGCTCACCACACCTGCCTTATGCCTCTTGCATTTTCAGTTTGCTCTTATGTGCACGCTCAGACCACGCACCCAGCTCTTCCTATGTGCTTATGCAGGGAAGGACCTCATCCTCCACGTGAAATGGAGCTACTGCACATCATGGGACTGTATGAGCTGGGAACCACATAATCTCACAACACAGCAATTACCTGCTACTCCTCTCCTCTCTTTTCTTCTGCTCTCTCTCCTAAATGCTTCAAAATAACCCCAATTCAGAAGATCCCAGAGCAGCCAGAAGAGCACACCCCTATCCAGCAGCCCAGCATGCCCATGGCCACAGCTTGCCTTAGGGACAGCTCTTCTTTCCTTTCTACAGCTTCCACAAGTTTCAAAACTTTTGGTAACGCTGCACATCAATTAAGTGGATGAAAGCTCCCAGTCCAGATGCCTCTCCATGCCCTCACTGACCAACTGCCAGCTGGGGACAGCATTAAGCCTTATTTACCCTGACAAAGGGAATCCCCATACTTGTTTCCACTCTCTCGGCACTTTCCCAGATATTGCAGCAAGGTATCTTCATCATTCTTCACTGCATCACTTTCAGTCCACATAAATCAGAACGAAGGGCCGAAACGAAGTCTGCTCTACTTCTAAGGCGCTGATAAGATGCCACCAGCCCTGGGTGCATGTACTCTCCACGATCAGAGCCACATGTGAGCCCAACAGAGGGGCTGAGAGCGTCTCTGCTCAGCAGAAGCAGACAGGAGAAAATCTCCTTCGGTCTGGAGATGCCTGAACAGTGAAACCCACCATCGATCAGAGCGACAGCGCATGGGTCCCCGAGGAGCTCCATCCAGGGGGTACGACACGGGAGGCAGCAGATGGCTGAACTCATTTCAGCCTTTCCACCCTTTCACATAACATTTAGCTAGCACCATGATAAACAGATTTAGAGACACCCATCTCGTTAGCCAGATGCTTGGTGAGATCGTCCCCTCCAGCCCATTCACAGTCAGAGACAGAAAAGCAGTTCCTTACCCAGCCTGGGGAGCTCTGCTGGAGGGTTCAGCCTCGCCTCTGCCCTGCTCTCTTTGCTGGGTTTGGTGGAACCTGCAGTCTTCCTTCCACCTTTACAAGCATAGGAATCCGCCATCTCTGAAACAAGCAGGGGATGCGTTAGAAGTCACATGGAGCTGGGAAGAACACATGCTGAAAGCAAGGAGAGCTGCTGGAATGGAGGGAAATTAGAAATCTGACAGCTGAAGCATTGTCACAAAGGGCAGAAACAAGATAGGTTTCTGAGTATCTGTCCTCTGGCTGAGCAATGCAAAAGACATGGTTGAAAAGCTGCTTTCATGATGAGCTGGTTTCCTCTCCACGTATAACAGCAAGGACTTTATTAAAACTTATGGGCTGGCTTCGTCCAGAGAAGTAACAGAGTAAATGGCTTTTCCTCTTCGTTTATTTCTATGCTTTCATTTAAGACACCAAAAGCAAAAAAAAATAGTGAGTTTTAATGAACAGATGTAGTGATAAATTTCCAATTTTCCTTATTAATGGGAAACTGTTATAAACCGAGAATTGCTAATGTTATCTAAATTTTCTGTATTAATAATTCAATTTGGTTTCTCTATAAATAATGAACATCAGAAATTATCACGGAAGGCCCGGTCATGCTCCCTGCAGAAGCAACCAGCAGGAGACCCCTCTGCTTCAGGAGGATTAAGGCCATGGAGTGGCTGCTTCTGCCCAAGTTCATTTCAAGTATCCTCAGACACTGAACCCAAACCTCACACTTGAATGAAGGCAGATAACACAGCTGCTTGGAGTGAGCCACCCGGGTGCAGTGCTGTGGGCTGTACAGCCCGGTACAATGCAGCACGATGAGGGATGCACCTTGCAGGAGGGGCTCAGCCTGTCTGGTTTGGAAAAGTTTCTTGCAATGCAGACAAAATTCACTGCTGGTCTGAGCAAGTGTGGGACTGGGGACCAGTGAGCAGCGTCTGGATGCAGCACTATAGCCCTCAACTCAGATCTTGCTGCAGAGCTCAGCTGCATCAAGGGACCAAACCTGCCCTAGGGGTGTCAGGGCTTTGGGAGCAGGTCCTGCTGGCCCCCATGGTCACATGCAGCCTGAAGACTATGGACAGTGCCAGGGAAGTGATGCTGATGCTCAGCCAGACACGAGCAGTGCGACTGCAGGAAGTGCCACCTGCTGCCTTCTTTTCACCTCTGCTTAACACTTCTCTCCCACGTGCATACATTTTTTAAAACACAGATGTGTCTTGTCAGCCTCTGATGCCTCTCACATAACCCTGTCTGCATCGTTCAGCTCAATCCAAGCCAAAGATGTGCCCCCTGAACATCCCCACTCACCCTGCCCAGGTGCCCGGTGGGATTGCGGTGCTCGGGGAGCAGCTCCCCTGAACCCACACCATGGGGAAAGGGGCTGCAGGCCCCCAACCCCAGAGCACTGCTATCACAGTGTGGGACGCTGTGCTGTCCCTTGAGGTGTCCTTTCAGAGGTGACAACAGGGACTTCCTGCGCAGGAGAGCATAACTGTGCATGGCATGCAGACCAGATGCTCCCAGACGAGCTGGCAAACTCCTCCAGCAAGTGTTCAGCCAGTGACAAATATTGGGTTGTTTGTGCAGACACAAAGGTTAATCAAATCAAATGAGAAATTTCATTCTTGGCAACAGGTTCTCTGGCATTCAGTGCCGAACGCAGGAATCATTTATTCCACTCCTTTGAACTCCTGAAGCAGAAGATCTGGGTATGAGCTGCAGCGGCTCTGGGAGTGGGCACCCAGTGGGGTCCCTGCAGTCTTTCCCCAAATTGCAGCTCATCCACGGGAACAAATGGGCCAGTGCCCTCCCCTCCTGTGCTACTTGTGAAGGACAACATGCAGGGAAGGTCCTGCCGGGGAGCAGACACCCAGCATGCTCACACCCAGCAGCAGTGCACGGGCAGCAATGGGAGCAAGGGATGAGCTGAGCATCGTTTCCTAACGCTCCATCCTGGGGCTGAGCATCGCTCCTGAGCGCTCCCATCCTGGACCTGCAGTCCCACTATCACTGCTGATCACTTCTGTCCCATCAGTGAGGCCCTTTCTGGCTGGTTTTGGAGGTTTGAAACTTCTTTGCTTTCCCCATCAAATACTGCTTTGATTTTTTTCCCCCTCTAATTTTTAGCTCATACGAAAAATAAAAGCCAATAAACCTCCTAGCAAGAGCCAAGTGCCACTCCATGACCATCAATACAACCCCGGGGATCCCAGAGGAATTGCCCCAGAGCCAGAGAGCAGAAATCAGCCCATTGTCTTCAGTCATATCCAAACTTCTTACTCGATTTGAGTCACACCCGCTGACACCAGCCAACAGCCTGTGCCGTGTGCCTTTCCATGCTTCCACTGCGTTTTGGTGCATTTTGCAGCCGGTGATGAGAGAAACAGACATTGGCAGGTCCCAGCTGTGAGCGGCGCTGGGATGCACTGGAGGAGGCCAGGACAGCCACAGCATCTTTGCAGGTCAAGCTTTACTCTATCACAACTCCTCCCAAGGAGGTGCTGGGCACAGCCTGACCGCTGGCACATTTGCCATGAATTGGAAAAGGGGAACTGATTCCACACTTCAACACGTATCAGTCACTGTGGACCAGGTCAGCAGCAGCACACACACACTCCAGCAGGGAATGCTGCGTGGCCCCAGCACTTTGCAATCATCTCAGCACACATCATCCATTGATTCGCTCCGCTTATTGTCAATAATTAACTGATGGCTCGGCGTGATGGAGGTAATGCCAAAAAGGCAAGTGAGCTGTGGGGTGAGTGGCATGGGGGGCAGTAGGGGTGCAGCGAGGCCATCACAGGTGACAGCCATCAAAAGGAGCTCAGGGTTGTGCGCTAAGAGAAACTTTTGGGCATGGGAAAAGGCTCCTCTGGGAGAAAGGGGAATCAGCAAGAGGGAAGCACCTGGCAGGTGACATGACCACTGGGGTAAGGATGGCCACCCTGTGCCAGTGGAGATGCCATGCATGTCGCTGCCTCCCCTGCCCCTCTGCAGTGCTCTGAGTGCAGCTGGTGGCTGCAGGGGATGTCCATCTGAGGTCCTTCAGCATCACCACCATCACCCAAATCCAGCAACACCCGCTGGCCAGCAGTTCCCCTTAGTACCCCTATGAGTCCCTTTTGCAGGAAATCACTTGCACCGAGCAGAAGTAGCACCCAGCCACTGCACTTCACCCAAGTGCCTGTTTCTGGGCGCGGGTGAAGCTTTTGATGGTTTGAAAGTTTCTGTCTGAAACACATTAGCAAGTCCCTCCCCCTCGGCCATCCTCAGGCACAAAAGCAAATGGGAAAAGCACAAACACAAACACACACAAAATCCCAGCAGTGAGCGGCAGCAGCCCCGGCCGGAGCCACCACCCGGTGTCACCACTGCCCGGTGACCTGCGGGGCCGTGCGTCACATCACCGCTGGGCTCCGCCGGTGCGAGCAGAGGCGGACGCCCGTCCCGCTGTCACTTCCTTGGGCCTGCCCGGGTCACGCCATCACCTGTCACCTCCACGGCCTGGGCCGTGCCATACCCGGCGGCCGGGTCCCTCATCCTCCTGCCCCGGCCGACGCATCTTCCCGTCACCTCCCCGGCCGGGATCCGCTCGTCCAGGGCCGCCTGTCACCTCGGTGCCCCGGGCCGTTCCACCCTCGGTTGCTGCGCCCCCCGTCCTCCCTCCCGGCTCACCTCTCCCGTCACCTCGCCGACCCGGCCACGGCCGGGGCCGGCTCACCCCGCGGCCCATCGACCCCTCGGACCCTCAGCCCGCCCCCTCCCCGCTCCTCCCCGCCCCCGTCACCCCGCTTAGGGCCCCGCCGCCGCCGCCGCCCGCCGCCCCCACTCGGGGCCCGTTCCGGGCTGTGCCGAGGCCCCGTCCCGCCACCGGCCCCGCGCTCCCGGGAGGGGAAGCGAGAGGCAAAATGGCGACGCGGGCTGCGGCCGGAGGAGCGGGAACGGGAGCGGGGGCGGGGGGTCCCCGCGGCGGGGCCGGGCCGGGGCCTCGCTCGGTGCTTACCTCGGCGGCAGCGGCTGCGGTGCGGGGCGCTGGGGCCGGGCGCCCCCCGAGCGGCGAAGCGGCGCCGCCCGCGGCTGTGGGGCCGCCG